CTTTATTGTAATATAATACATCACTGTATCCTTTATTGTAATATAATAGGTCACTGTATCCTTTATTGTAATATAATACATCACTGTATCCTTTATTGTAATATAATAGGTCACTGTATCCTTTATTGTAATATAATACATCACTGTATCCTTTATTGTAATATAATACATTACTGTATCCTTTATTGTAATATAATATGTCATTGTATCCTTTATTGTAATATAATATGTCATTGTATCCTTTTTTTAATTCTTTAGTTCTAAACAAAGAGATAATTTAGGATGAATTATAACAAAATGAAAACATTATGGTTTCTCTGTCACTTTTACAACCTCACACAGAGAGAAGGGGAAGAGAATGGTTGTCTAGAGGCATCATTATGTCGACGGATTGACAAATATTTTACTTTGATCATGATGGTTTCTGAGCTAACAATAAGCAAACATTGCGGTTATGAGATCCAGGAGAGTAACATTTTGTTTGTTTTTTTTAACTGACAGGCTATTAGAAGTAAATACAACTTGAAGTTTCGGTAAGTACTTACCATCTGAGTTTGAAGCTGATATGTGTTGCCCATTATTTTGTAACCACGAAGTCACCCGCATGTAGTCTAGCACGTGAGTAGGCACGTGACATTCAAGTATTGCTGCGTTTCCAAACATAACGTGCTGGTCGTATACGACGACGTCATAAGGTTTAAACACAACTGAAAAACGAAACAAAAGCTAGAATTATGCATTCATCTGTCTATCTATGCTAGTGTTTGTGTGCTATATTCTATGGTTTCTTTAGTGTTATTTCCATCTACTTGACTATCTGTCTATCTATGCTAGTGTTTGTGTGTTATATTCTATGGTTCATTTAATGTTGTTTCCATCTACTTAACTATCTGTCTATCTATGCTAGTGTTTGTGTGTTATACTCCATGGTTCCTTTAATGTTGTTTCCATCTACTTAACTATCTGTCTATCTATGCTAGTGTTTGTGTGTTATATTCTATGGTTGATTTAATGTTTTTTCCATCTACTTAACTATCTGTCTTTCTATGCTAGAGTTTTTGTGTTATATTCTATGGTTCCTTTAATGTTGTTTCCATTATTATGATGAATGCAAATATTATTTTATTATTGGATTTTTTTTTAATATTATATTTTCATTATGAAGGATATTTTGCATTGTTAGCTAGTATATGGATTTAGAACTAATCTAAATCTCCTAAGCTGGCTGAACCTCGTGAGGTATTGTTGGGATTATGGCCGAAAACGTCGTTAACAGCGAGGGTACCCAGCTGATGAAACAATGCATTCTAACTTTTATAAGTAGGAACGTATCTATCTATCTATCTATGTCAGACCGCGTATCTACTATCAATTAACTAACTTCCTTCTGTTACACTTCTTCTATCTATCTGTCTATCTGTGCACTTTCTGTCAGTATGACACAAGAGCTGACAGTGGGTGATATATTGACTAGCTCTCTCAGTACCAATCTATCAATTAAAAATTAGGAACGGTCATGCGCAGAAAGCCCTGTGTACAGCTATACACTCAAGTTTTGAAACAAACAGGTTCTTCACCTTTCTCCACAGTAAGTTATTCATTTATACAGTTTTGGAACAATTCTTTTTAAACACAAAATAAAACAAAACAGGTTACTTTAACAAGTTTTTCAAGAAATAGTTAATTCTTACGAGAAATGACGTTTACTGGACTTCTTGCACAACTTTTGATCATCTGAATGTTGTAGAATAAATTGTTTCAAACTTTTTTTTTTAGCTGTGAATCGACTGTTTTACTGATGTTGTTGACTGCAGCTGTTCGAGTGAGTTTATCTAAGTTCTTTTGTAACTAAACACAACACCTTATTCTTATCGATCTTTAGAATTAAAGTACCTTTACCTTAGATACAAATACGTTGTAGCGTGTTAATTATTGCAAGCAGCAACCACTTTTGTTTCGTTGTTAAGTTTAGCACAAAACGAGAATTTCAAAAACCAAGAATAATTTAAAACATTTTGTTCTTGTTGTTTAATGTTGTTCAATCACTGTTTTTTCAATTATGGTGGTAAGTCACTGGTAGTCATGTGACAAGTGAGAATTAACCATGATGATAAGTCACTGGTAGTCATATGACAAGTGAGAATTAGCCATGGTGGTAAGTCACTGGTAGTCATGTGACAAGTGAGAGTTAACTACGGCGATAAGTCACTGGTAGTCATGTGACAAGTGAGAATTAACCATGGTGATAAGTCACTGGTAGTCATGTGACAAGTGAGAATTAACCATGGTGATAAGTCACTGGTAGTCATGTGACAAGTGAGAGTTAACCATGATGATAAGTTACTGGTAGTCATGTGGCAAGTGAGAGTTAACCACAGTGGTAAGTCACTGGTAGTTATGTGACAAGTGAGAGGTAACCAGGGTGGTAAGTCACTGGTAGTCATGTGACAAGTGAGAGTTAACCAGGGGGTAAGTCACTGGTAGTCATGTGACAAGTGAGAATTAACCAGGGGGTAAGTCACTGGTAGTCATGTGACAAGTGAGAATTAACCAGGGGGTAA